AAAAAAAAAAAAAAAAAAATCATTACCAAATGGACAGTTCCCCGGAAAATCAAGGTTGGAGTAACACTGGAAAATCATTCAATTTAATTTGCCATTAAAAGAGTAAAAAACTAGATGTGGTGGCACGTCTGTAATCCCAGGACTCCGGAGGCTGAGGCAGGAGGACTGTTTCAAATTCAAGGCCAGTCTACGCTACGTAGTGAGCTCAAGGCTAGTCTGAACAACATAGCAAGACCCTGTCTAAAAAAAAGTGTAAAGAAAAACACATACAGTATTATAGTTACCAGTATCTAAGAAAAAACCCCTATCACTTATTGGCCTTTTGGCTAAGATCAAGTGGAAAAGTCCCCATAAATTCCTACTTTATATTCTCACCTTCATGCAGTTCCCTTCCACTCTTCACCAGAATTAGTCGATGTCACCAACAGAAGGTATCAGAAATGCTGCATAGCAGGTCCAGGTTAAGTTACAGCAGAGACTGTGGCTTGGCTCCTTTGTGAGTGCTCTCTAGGTCACTTTGTTTTAGGACTAATTATCCTCAGTGGAATACTAACAAAAGAATACACTACTGAGACACAGAACAGTATGGATGAATCAAAGTAATTATGCAGAATTAAAGAAATCAGTTACACTGAGTGCAGATTGCATTATTCCGTATGTATAAAATTAGGTGGCAGCAAATCAGTGGTTGCCTGGGGACAGGAGACTTTATAAAGGGAACTGGATAACTTTTGGCTTCACTAGTGTAAAATGTGCACCAAAAATATGAAACCACACCCTATTATCTGTAACTGTTGCAGAAAATAAAGACAAAGGTCTGCAAGTTCTTAGTTTTCTGTAAAACCTCAAAAAAAAAAAAAAAAAAAAGCCATAGGGATGGAACACATGTTAATAACTTTTACTTATTGAAGCAAGGTCTAGCTATGTTGCCCGGGCTGTTGTGAACTCCTGGGCTCAAGGGATCTTTCTGCCTTAGCCTCCTGAGTAGCTGGACTACAGGGGTGTCTGACCATGCCTAGCTACTATGGACCCACTTTTAGAAGGATCACATTCCCTGTAGTCTGCTGTAGTCTCCAATTCCCTATCAGTGTCCCTGTACTAATTATAATTTTGACCTGGTCCAGGGATATTTGCCTACCAAATGACAGACTTCAGGGCCCAAAGGTCAAGTTCTCAAATGAGCTGGAAAATATGAAATACACTGAAAGCAAGGAATTCAATTCAATTTGTCCCCAGACACATTAGAGATTGTCCCAACAAATGCCCACTGACCAGGGTGACCTTGACCATACAAATAATTTTGTTATAGACTACAAGATTGGGCACATGACAAATCAGCATTCTTTCTTAGTAGCACTTATGCAGCGATGCACACTGGGCTGACACTGGATGAGAGCTGTTCTTTGCCATTCTATCACCTACGAGATATATACAGCTATGGCTCTCACAAAGTTGTTTATCCCTGCATGCTTGTGGAGACCAATTCTGTCTCCAACCCCACTCACAAAGTGAAAAGAACCTCATGGTTACAGAGAGTGTAAAAATTAAGGCATCTGTCACAATACCAGAACAAGACAAGGCAGGTAGTTTTGAATTAGTTGCCTTGGGGGCTAGACATCCCATGAGTGCTACATGAGACCAGCAATGTCCCGAAAGGGAAATGGGCAGACAGCTCACAGAATCCTCTTGCCCAAGACTGGGTCACACCTATGCTTAAACCAATTTGGGTGGGGCAGGAAAGAAGGAAAGTCCTTGATGGATTTAGGCTTCTAATGATTTCCTTCAAGGAAGAGAGGAGCACTGAAGCATGCCTTTTAAATTACACTGATGTGCACAAGGCAGGACTCTGTTAGTGCAAAGAAGATGACTTCTGTCAGAGGAAATGGCTGTGGCAGAATTTTCTCAAGGGTCTTAGTAGGTCAGAAAATGCAACATGGCCCCAGGAAGCTTCCCATGTAGCTGGCACTCAAGATCTTCTCAGTGTGGGTGTTCAGATGGATGAGGCTCCATTCCCGGCTGAGGCTCCACTCCTGGCTGATAAGTCAGTGCACAAGGCTACCGAATTTTACTCTGCTGTCAGTCATTATGGTGGACAAAGAGATGGAGTAGTTCCTGTCAACCTAAGGCCTTTCTCCAGTGTGAACTTTCCAGTGCCGGACGAGGGAGGCCCTTTGCCTGAAGGCTTTCCCACATTCACTGCACTTGTATGGTCTTTCTCCAGTGTGAATCCTATGGTGCTGAACAAGTACATGCTTGTGGCTAAAGGCTTTTCCACATTCGCTGCACACATATGGCTTTTCACCATTGTGAACCCTGTGGTGTGCAATAAGATCAGAACTTTGGCTGAAGAACTTCCCACATGCAATGCACTCGTAAGGTCTTGCTCCAGTGTGAACACTCCAATGTTTAATGAGCCTGTATTTGTGACCAAAGTATTTCCCACATTCACTGCACTCATAAGGCTTTTCTCCAGTGTGTACACTCTCATGCTGAACAAGGGTAGATTTGTGGCTGTAGGCTTTCCCACACTCACTGCATTTATATGGCCTTGCTCCAGTGTGGACTCTCTGATGTACAATAAGGTTAGAACTATGATTAAAAACCTTTCCACAAATGCCACACTCATAAGGCATTTCACCGGTGTGGATCCTCTGATGCTGAGCAAGTATAGGTTTGCGGCTGAAGGTTTTCCCACATTCACCACATTTATAAGGTCTTTCTCCAGTATGGACTCTCTGGTGCTGAACAAGTGAGTCTTTGCGGCTGAAGGCTTTCCCACATTCGTTGCACTTGTACTGCCTTAGGGCACTGTAAAAGGCATCTTCCCTTGTGCTACTGCCATGTACGCCCCACTCACTGTGAGGGGTCCGGTGCTGGAAAATGCTCGAGCTGCTTGGTGAATCCTTAAAGCGCTCCCCTGTTATAAAAGGCATCGGTGAGGGCTGGACAGGACAGCTGTTCTGAAGGAAAGTCCTACCTTCTGACCTCTTAAAGGATTTCTCTTCACCACGCTGCTTCTGGTACTGGTGAAGGTTTGCAGTGAACTGCAACTGTTTCCCATATACTATACCCATGTACGGCATCTGCCTAGTGTGTGCTTCCTGGTGCTCAGCCAAGTATAAAATGTCTTTCAACACCAGGCCACACATCTCACAGGAATGAGCCTTCTGGGTAGAAGGACTTCCCCTAGGAGTCCTCTGGGACACTCCTTTTATAGAAATGCTCTGCTCACAAGGTATCTCCTCGTCCTCCACTCCATGCCAACAACCTGCGGGCAAAGAAATGCTGGTGAAGTGCCATTTGACCCTGGTGCGGGGACAGCCTCAGTACAAATGTGTGTCTAATACAATTAAGATGACAGGTGACAGGAAGTCAGGACAGGGACCTAAGCTTAAGTGAAGCATGCTGTATAGTAGCTGGCATCTCATGGTCATAGAACAGAGGAGGCCTTGGCAGGGAGAGATGTGGGGTACAACACAGGACAAAGAGGTAGGGTCTCTGGTGAAGTCTTTCATAACCATAATTCTTTGGTGCTGGGGACAGGTGCAAAGTGCACAGAGGAATTATGCTCATACTCAAGAAAATTAACCTGCTACTAGGTAACGAGCATTTAAGGAACACGCTGGGTATGTGCATATCTCACAATGCACCGCATACAGGCCACTGTTGGACGGCGCTGCAGAGAAAGAAATGGAGAGGAACAGCTGAGATACGGAAGCAGGGACACAGACAAGTAAAGAGGCCCAGCTCAGCAAAAGATAAGAAAGGAAGTGTGGCTCATGGCCTTGACACTGAAACAACTATGGGCGCCGAGGTTATGGAATGACCCTGACGTGACCCTTTACCCACCTGCACTCAACACACCCAGCTAGAGTCTCTCCAGCAATGACTAGAGTCATGTGCACCCAGTCAAGTACCCAGGGCCCTCTGCCCAACTCCAGGGAAGCAATGACATAGAACATGGAAGATGAATATCCTGAGGGAATACACCATAAGCAGATGGCCAGTACAGAGAAGAAAACTGAGTATTACAAAGTAATTCCACAGGAGGGTCATCCCATTGGTCTTAGCAAGTAGTGGCCAAACTTGTCTTTATACTTCTAGGCATAGGTCAGCCACAGGAAACGTCAGCAAGGGGGTAGAGTCTGGGTCACACAAGTGTCATGGATACAGATGGAGACACCCAGTCAGGAAGAAGACAAGATGGATATGATCCACTGGGCTGATTCCAAGACAACTGAATCCCAGATCCATCATTTGATACTACTCAAAAGCAGGAGGCAGCCGGGCACAGTCAAGCCCGTCATCCACAGTGCTTCCAGGAAACTGGGGAAGGTGCTAGTGCCAGTGGCTCTGAGGTAGAAAGGACATGGCTACCCTGGGGAAAAGGAAAGAGCAGAGCCCAATCCAAAACACACAGGTAGGTGTGATAGCCTTACCCAGTGAGGCTGTAAGAGCAAAGTTCTCCAGCATCACATCCCGGTACAGGAACCTCTGAGCTTCATCAAGGAGTTCCCACTCCTCCTGGGAGAAGCACACGAACACATCCTCAAAGTTCACCTGTCCCTGCCACAGTGGAGGAGAGCAAAGGCCATGAGTAACCTATCTCCCAAGGATCCCTGCCCACGTCCCCGTTTATCTCCCTCCTAACTGCTCAACTTGGAGGAAATAGCAGAACCAGGCCACACTGGTGTCTGCGCCTTCCTCTCAGGCCTATTACTCATTCTGTCCACTCTAACAATACGCAGGTGGGCAGAAGAGGACCATTTAAGCTCTAGGCATGGCACTACCTTGTGCCAGCTAATTCCTCCGGGGTTGCTAAGATCATGCTAATTGGTCAACCAAGCTTCGGCACATCTTGCTCTCTTAAGCTTCGTACAAAGGCGCAGGGCCTATCAGTCTACACTCCTGTCTATGAGTATATCATTCTTTGTATTCATTCCTGTCCCATAACTGTCCCTCCTCCCACTTGGTAGCTTCCATCTTCATATTTCTAGCTTACTAACTACACTGCCACTGTAATGTAATTCTCCATCCTAAATCCGTCTTTACATCATCTTCCACCCTTTGTCTCCACCTTGAGCCCCTGTATATAACTCCAGTCCTGTCTGTCCACCAGTCCACTTAACATTTCCACCTAGTGCCCTGTGGAACCTCTCAGACTCTTCACATGGCCATAAATAAAATCCTGATATTCACAATAAAAGATACTTCTAACACTGACCTGCCTATCTCAGATATGGAACGCCTATCCTTCTCACTGATAAGTCCAAAAACATTGGTGGATCTGTTTTTCTGTCTCACATTAGAAAATTCAATCCAATCACTTCTATCTACACAACCACCCCTCTCGCCTGTTATCATCATTCACCTGAAATAATGTAACCTTTCCTCTGCTCTCCTTGCCCCCACCACATCTCAACCAACTTTTATCAAACCTAGTCAGCTCTCGGATTAGCATCCAGAGGGAGGCTGTTAAGAACTGGGTTGGATTATCTCTCTCCTCTGCTCCACACTTCCCACTACCCTTGAAATAGAGGCCTTGCTCCTTTGTCATCCATTTCAGGCCTGACTTCTGCCTCTCTGCCCTTGGTTCCTAACAGACCTGCAGCTTCTTCAAGGTTTTTTTTTTGGGGGGGTGTCCAGGGTCTTGCTATATAGTTCCAGATGGACTTGAACTCACTATGTAGCCCAAGCTAGCCTTGAACTTGCCCCAATCCTCCTGTATCAGCCTAAGTGATGGGATTACAGGCATGTGCCACCATGTCTGCATGACATGCAGTTTCTTTACAACTCCCATCTCAGTGTCACCTCAAGTATTTGTTAATGTTGGCTCATGTACCTAGAACAACTCTCCAGCCTTATTCCAATGTCTGGTAGAAATGGGAACTTCTCCTTATCATCCTTAGCCTGGACTCAGGACCCTGAGCTGGGGAATTACTCTAAGGTCTTCAGATTCAAGAAATAAAAAAAGCATCAGGAAACTGTTCTTTATGTTATCACAGCCCTCGAGGCCATACAGATGCGGGTGGGCTGTGTGAGACCATGGACATCCTTCCCTCACCTGTTTAGGGACCATAATTACCTCTGAGTTCACAGGACCCTGTGGAGAGTGGGAGACTGTGAGAAGCAAGAAACCACAAAAAACCCCCAAGGGCTCTGGCCTATCCCTCACTTTCATTCTGCTACAAAGTGATCCAGAACTCTGACTACCTTCTGTATCTCTGTTTTCAGGGTCTCCTCCGAACTAATATGTTAAGTTGGACTAGTTCTGAATCCTAGTGTGCCTCACCGTTCTAATCTGTTCCACAACCACCGTATTTTTCCCTGGACAGTCTGGAGTACTCTCTAAACCCCTAGACTGCATCTCTCCTCCACTAAGAAGCTTCCATGGCTCCTGTCGCCCTCTGAGCAGGGGTCCAGCTGCCCAGTCCCGCGAATACTCCAGCAGTGTCGCACTTGAGCTTTTGCACATGCAGGTCCCAGTCCCCGTGACGTCCACTCGCATAACTCGCTGTGAGAAAAGAACTCAAGCACAAAAGCCTCCACTGCTCCAGACCTAGAAGTCCGGAGGAGAATTCAGATACTGGAGCGGGGCCAGACCCGGGGACGCACCCACCTGCGCGGCGTCCATCAGCGCGGCCACCGCCATGGGTCCTGAGGACCAAGGAGAGAGAGCGACAGCTGCGGGGATCGGGTTCCACTCTCACAGCCCAGCGCCGGATCGCTGGCAGGGCCACCGTGGGGCTCAGGCCAGCCGCTGGACAACGCTTTCTCTCACGTTTCCCCTTTCCTGTCACTAGGGGCCTGAAGAGACGTTCCGGTGACTGACCTATTAACGCAAAAGGAAACAACATGTCCGCTGGAGGAGGGAACAGGAAGTCCCGCCCCATACCTTCTCCAGAACGGAAACGACCCTTTCTTGGGTCCTGATTGGCTTAGAGCCACGGGGACTCCAGGGCAATGTAGTTTCTACGGCACCAAAGAGGGTGTATGGTTACTTGGGCGGTTTTCAGAATGTAGGCGCAGCCACTCCACCGGAAACTGGCGAACTTCGTTATATCCGAAAGGAGCTGCGACTGATGAGTGTAGTCTATTACTTATCACAGAAATACTTAGAGACATATTAGTTTAGGCGAATGCAGGGAATGCCGACAGGGCGGGGAGCGTTGGTGGGGGAACGGGGTGGCAACATAGACTTCCGTTGCCGGAAGCTATTATAAATATTATGGTACTCTGAATACTTTGATCTTAAAACTCTAGAGCTAAGTTTTCAGAACCTCAGCATTTTGGGTCAGGCACAAGACAGAAAAGATTCCACAGCAATAACATGGATTAGGGATGTTTAGTGGCTCTAAAGCTGATGGATAATTCTTTTTTTTTGGTTTTTCTCCGGTACTGGGAACCGAACTCACGACCTTGCGCTTGCCAGGCAGGCACTTTACCGCTGAGCTAAATCCCCAGCCCTAGCTGATGGATAATTCTTGTGATTCTGTTTACCTCAGAAAATATTTCTCCCGCCTGTCAGTGATTGTGCCAAACCCATAGAGCAACACTGTTTATTGAGATATTTTATACTCCACATACACGGATGTATCCAATAAGTTTTAGTATTTTACAAATATCTGAAAAGATGGTTGATTTACCAAATGTCATCTGGCAATGGAAAGAAAATACTGAAGAGTTTCTGCACAGAAGAAATAACCATCACCTAAATTGCTATACATAGCAAAACTGTCTTTTATGAAAGTGTGATAGGAGACTATGTGAAGACAAAAAAGATAAATGTAATGGAAATACATTTATACATAATATAAATTACCTAATCTAGTACTAAATGACAAAGAATGTTGATCCAGGAAAGTCTGCAATGACAGAAGAAAAGGTGAAGGAAAGGTTCATCTTTCGATTGATATAACTGCTTATTGTGGTATGAAACATAATATACCTCCTTATGGTGTAAAATCAGTGAATCCCTATGTATAGCTTCAGTAATCAATAACTTGAAAGAAGGCTAATTGCTCAGTGTTTTGAATCTTTTATATTTCTAAGTAGAAAGTAAATATATTCACAACCTATACCCTTGTTGTAGTCAAGCGTTTCAAAGGAATAGTGTTAATATAGAATGCATAACTTATAAGATTATTTATAATATTCACCAAAAGAGTCAAATACAAAAGAGTGGGAGAAATCTGTCCACATACTAGAGACCCAAAAGAATCCAGCTGAGGGCCTACATCCCATGAAAATGTCCCCCATGAGTCCAACTGGAGGCATAGAGGCTATGACAATGTCTTATGCAAGTCTGTGTCAAGGATCTGCACTGGGAAGGACCAAAGGTCAGTGGTGGAAGCAAGAAAGTACACCAGCAAAATGAAAGATCTGTGCCAGTGGGCTGAAGGATCTGCACTGAAGCCAGGAAGCGATACTTAAAGCAAGGACCAGAGTTACCACAGAAAGAACTATAGCCATCCTCAGTGACAGCAAGAACTGGAGCTCCTCCAGTGATGAGAACGATTGAGTTCATAGCAGGGAATCCAGCATGACAAACTTCTTCAGGAGGATCAACAGCACACCATCTTCTCTAGTTCTCTTTTTATGCCGTTGGCAACAATCCTTAGGTGGGCCTTACACACCCCACATCATGCTGCTTCAGTTTAGCAGGGTGTTGCAAGTTGACCATTAGTTAACCCACCACAATCCTAATTATTCTTTATAATTTTAGCTTAAATATAATTAATACATAGACGTCTACACCTCAGCATGTTCTGTTGAAAATACAGTATTAACTTAAAATGAGTCATATCCCAAGAGCAAATTTTTCAGAAAGTACCACTTTGAAAAAAAACCCCCAAAATCTTTGCTATCACATTAGGCAGATATGTTTAGATACATCAAAAGTAAGACTAACAGAAAAACGGATACATTTGACTTTCTCCAAATGGAGATCTTATGCTTGTCAGAAGAATCTGTGAGTATAATGAAAGGGAAGTCAAACACTGAGTAAAACTATTTTCAAGTCATGTATCCTGGATAAAGACTTGTGCAAAGACTATATTAGCAAATCTCAAAATCCAAGACTATGACAATAGACAACTCAATAAAAATGCAGTAATTCCCACTTGCTTCAAGCTGTCATATTTGGGGGAAGACTGGCCCAGTCAAGGACACTTTCAACTCCACCCACTCTTCTCAGACCCCCTCTCTCCCAGACTATTCCCATACAAACCTGCCTGACAATATATGACACAATTTTTGTGTTTCATGTAACCAATCATGTAATAACCTGCTATCAGCTTTGTACCTTCCACTGCAAACCATATTTGAACTGAACTGAACCTGACTCTGGGCTGGTGATTTGAACCTCTAGCTTCCCCAGTTCGAAAGCGTAATAAAAGTTGCCTTCTAACTCCTCGGTGCAGAGACTTTCATTTGGATTGGTATTGGTTTTTCTGCTATGCTTTCCCATTCTCTGTCCTCTTTTGTCCTCTTTCCTGTTATTCCAAATCACCAGTATTTTTTCTTCCCTCATCTCTGGCACTTGATCTAACTTTTAGAACAATGTTCTAACGTGGTTCTCCTACAGCTGCTTCCTTCTCATTTTCTCATCTCAATCCAATTATTACTGTATGAAAGTCACCCATATCCAGCCTGTTTAAAGGAGCATTGTCTCCTAACTCAGTTTAAACACTGAACTCCTCCCTCAATTCAACTTCCATTCCTTCACACTTTTCCCATCCTTACTCCTCATTATTTTCACCGCCATATTCAGAATGACAACTGCATTTTTTAGCATTCCAGGCCCAGTTTCCACACGTATAGTACATGGGCTTATGCAATTACATTAAGTTAGACTATTGTTTTCTAGGTGTGGCCTAGGAGGAGAGACTTTACTACATATAGTTGGCATGTGTAAAGAAAATATCTTTTCCCTGTATTTTCAGTCCTTTTTTGTTTTCTCGTCTTTAGCAGAGCAAATTTTGAGGTAAGGCTCTAAGATGGAGTTTCAGTGAGAGCAAAGTGATGGTTGTAGTCATCAGGAATAGAAGCATCCTTGGGTGATCTTTAGATGCTTGGTTTTACATGGTCCTACTGGTGCTTCAGAATAGTCCACGGTAACCAAGACACCACCTACATGGGATGTTGTCTTTGGGTATAAGACTTGGGCAATACCAGGAGATAGAAATGCTTGCCTGTTGTGGAGTTACACTGAAGTATCAGGCTCCCTCCACCCCAAGGACACAATTCTTTTCCTTTGTGGTGGCATTAATTTTTCCTAGGGATAGTGCTTATGGAAAGTTAGCCCAAGAGTTAGGCAGATAGTTAGACTTTAGGTAGACCTTAAAGACAAAGGGTATCTAAACAACATGCTTTGCCAATTAAAGTTAAACAAAGAAATAAAACCTCAGTGTATAACTTATAATGAGTATATAATTTAATATTATCTGTGTATCGTAGATAAAACAGTAACCCTACATAGCACAATGAGATCTATGGTCAGATAGGGCACAGAGCTTCACTGCATTACCAGTCAGAACTTTAGAGTCACTTATTCTTAACACCAGAAACCCAGATATTTAGTATTCCTGGTTGCTACAGCCCAACAATGACACAAATGTAAACAAAAGTAGCGTTTCAAGCTCAATGTTTCCATTCCTTTTAGACGTGGAAATATTCCTAAAGGCTAAAAATAGAAATGGCAGAAGTTAGAAAATTTATAGACATGGGATTTGATTTCGTTTTCCTTTTTTTTTTTTTTGAGACAGAGTCTTTCTGGGTAGCTCAGGCTGTCCTTGAACTCACTATGTAGCCTAGGCTGTCCTTGAACTCATGGTGATCCTCCTGCCTCAGCTTCCTAAGTACTGGGATTACAAGCTTGCACCACCAGGCCTGGCTTGTTATTTTCCTTTAAAAATATCCTCATGGAATGTATTTTGGGAATTCAATGAGATAAGTAAATTTATTATATAGATAATTTTTCCTAAACCAAATGACTAAGTCGTCTTTTCTTTCCTCACTGTGATAGTTTGAATAAGAAATATCCCCTAAAAACTCTTGAGGTCTGTGGTCCTGACCTTAGCAGCAATGATTCCATGCTCAGTAGGATTCTCCGAACCTTGGACAGGGGTAGAGCGGGTGGGGGGGCCGAGGTCCAGTAGAGGAAGCCTGCAAGCCCCTGGGGAAATCCGGAGGCTCCACACCAGTGCTAGCACTGTGCTTTCTGAAGGCTGGGAGCAGCAGCAGGAGGGAACTGGGGTCAAAGTGAGCTTCACCTTAACTTCATGCACTTGTGGATTCGTAATTTTGCATAATTATAATTTTATGATACTGTTTACAGTTGAAATAAAAACATAAGAAACAGTATAAAGAAAAGTAGTAGCCAGATATACTGGCATACCCCTGTCTATTGTACTCGGAAAAGATAACATTATGCAGAATACCAAAACCAAACCAGCATTATCAACTAACATCCCTCATGAATATAGATGCAAACGTATTTAAAAATAAGATAAAATTCAACACTTACCACCCATACCTAAAGAAAAAATAATACAACATTACCAAATGGACATTTCCCCAGAAATTCAAAGTTGGTGTAACACTGGAAAATCATTCAATTTAATTTGTCATTAAAAGAGTAAAGAGCTGAGCATGGTGTCACTGCCTGCACTTCCAGGACTTGGGAGGGTGAGGTAGGAGGATTGCTGCAAGTTTGAGGCCAACCAAGGATACATACTTGCATTAAGCCCAGTCTGAATGGCATAGTGAGGCCCTGCCTCAAAAAAGAAACAGAATAAGAAGGGATAGTGGAAAGGATCAGGCTTCATTTCAAGAGGTTGTTACCAAATGCAGTGCAACTGG